TGGTAGCCCAGGCTGGCCTCGAACTCACAGAGATCCGCCTGGCTCTGCCTCCCGAGTGCTGGGATTAAAGGCGTGCGCCACCAACGCCCGGCGGACCCTTTAGGTTTTAATTTCAGATACTCAGCAATGTCTGCAGTAGGGTCTATGGTGCACCTGTCTTTTCCAGTTCGCAGGCAAGATCTATAAGAAGTTAGGTCCTTATTGCTCAGATGCACCCAAAGATGCAAAGACTAGATCACTCCAGGGCCCAGCAGTCCTGACTTGATGCTGCTTGGGTACTAGGACGTCTTAGTGAGGAACCAAGGCTCCATGAGATTCCTGGTTCAGGAATCCTGGCAACATAGAGGCTGCCTACCCTCTGCAGACCCAGCTGTGTGTCAGGTTCATGGATACATTGATCAGGTGCAGCTTTGATTACATGAGTCCAGTCAATGAAAAGCACTCATCTCTCCTGGAACTAGAGCTCTTCCTGGGATACAATGGGGATGAGGGGAGTGTGAGATTTAGGGCTCAGGACAATGTCAGGGTGAACCCAAGTGTTAGATGTTTCTCTGCCTCCATTGGTAGGAGGAGGGATCTGAGGAGACCTAGGTTTGGCTTTTTGAGAAAAATTCAGGAAACACTTGTGAACTCCAATTGGCTGAATCAAGGCAATGCTTAAGGGGCTTCAAGTTACTCTGCCTGCTAAGCTAATTACTTCTTTTTGTAAGGAGGAGAAAGGAGCTAAGCAAATGAAGGTAGAGGAGAGTGGTGGACCCTGCCAGCTGACCCCTTAACTCCTGTGTGGTCAAAGATGTCACAGGGCCTTGGTAGGCCCCCCCAACTCCATCTTACAGGAAGGGGCCTTAAAAGGCCACTGCTGTCATGACTCAGAAAATGGCACTGCTTTATCCAGTACCCACGATGTCACCCAGAAAGATCTGGGATGGTAAATGTCACGGTGCCATGGCAGGGGGGCTTGGGCTCTGTGAAACAGAATCACTTACTCCAGGGCATGCTCTCCAAGCTGAGCCTTATTCACGTATGACTCACTCACCGACTCCCAGCCGCTTCATCATTCACACAGCGTATTCTGAGTGGCTTGTGGCCATCTTGTTCTAAGCCCCACCTCAGCCAACTCCTCATCCCCAGTGCTGGTGGCTCTCTGCCCAACCTGGGCTTGGCCAGCTGTACCCTTGAGTTGGAAACCTGCCAGCAAGCCCATTCTTTGTCCTGTCCCTGGCCACTGCCATCCTTGCAGTCTGGAGTCTTTCCAAGGACTCTGAGCTGCCTTGCAGGAACACTGCAGCCTCCCTTTCTTGGGCATCTGCCCACTAGCCATTGGCCAAGCAGGTCTTCAGGAGTTTTGTACTCGGAGTTTGCTGCCAGTCTGGTTGGGGCAGACTCTGCACCATTCAACGAATGCCCATGGCATCAGTCCTGTGTTCTCAGGCTTGACACTCTCACATGAATGAGGCCCACAGAGTTCCGGGTAACAAACGCCAATAGACTCCATTGAGAAATGGCCATAGTAACAAGAAGCGCGACATTCCACAGGGGACTAAGTGGTTATAAGAGGCTTTCCTTGGGAGGTGGCTGGGTTTTGGAGGATCAATAGGCATTCTGATAAAGCAGGGTAGAATGAACCCACAAGGTATTTGCAGAGAAATCAAAGCTGCTTAAGCTTTAGAGGGCTCAGAAAGAACCTGAAGAGCAGCAGGAAATCTGAAAGGCTGCAGCCGAGTGGAGGGACATCTGCCAGAGCTCAGCCTTGAGCAAGTCCTTTACCTTGCCTGTTTGGCAGGGCCAGCGCCACTCTGGTTACAGAGTCGGGGGTATGAGAGTGGTCTCACACCCTGCTGCTCTCAGAGACCTGGTGAGGCGGGGCTCAGAGATGAGGTGGAGAGCAACGTGTGGTCCCACCTGGATTGACGGTCCATTTCTTTCTCCCTCATGAGCTTCCGGCCTCTGCACCTAGAGCAAGGGTCTGAGATGCGAGTCCAGAAACCAATAGGGCATGGTTTTCCCAGAGGAGTATGCCAGGCAGTGCGAGGCAAGCTGCTGCCACCTGCACTCACTCGGCGCACACCCCAGTTGGGAACACAGCCAAACCACTCATGAACAGGTGCCAGCATAGTTAATCGCTTCTTGATCTTTCCGCTTTGAACACATTTGTATTTCTAGTGGAACACAGGCGTGGGTGGCAGCAGCCTCAGCCCTAGGAATGAATGTCTCTGCAGTGGAACAGAGCCCTGGTGCAGAACTTCTACTCTGAGTCTCCCATAGCAGCCTAGGCTTCCCCAAGCCCTCTGGCTATGGCCTGCTCCATTCACCTGCCAAGAAGCTTCTCCCCTGATGCTCAGTTGAGGGGCTTCCACCCCGGCCACCCACCAGGAAGAACCTCCAATCTTTACCCCACATCTTTTCTCCCCCAGGATACTTGTTACACTCTTGATTGGCATTTCCACGTGGCTACTTGCCAGCAGGCTTACTGGAAGGCAGAGACACTAATTTGTAATTGTCTCCAGCACCCATCGGGGATTCCGGCTGAGAGAAGCTCTTGTAGTATTAGATGGGAAGAAAGAGAGAAGGGCAAGGAACGGAAGGCACCGAGGAAGGAGAGAAGGGAGGGAAGGATGACGGATGAAAGGAAGGAATGAGGGGTGGGGTATGATGGAGAAGAGGAGAGGGAAGAAAAAGGGAGAAAGCGGGGAGGAGGAAGGAGGGCGTGGGTGTGCCAAATGCGTCTGTACCCCCGTGTTGGGGGGTAGGTTCTGAGAACAGAGCCTTGAGACAAGGCAGAGCTGGACAGAGGCACAGCACAGTGGTGATTTGGGCTACCTGTTTTCTCCACCTGCTGTTCTTCCCTCCCTGCCCCAGGAACATCTGTCATGCTAGCCTTCAGCCTCCCTGGGTCTCTGGAATCACCCTTCCTTGGCCTTCTGGCCCTCTTCTTCTTCCTGGTAGATGGACCAATCCTCCTTTCACTGACAGTGCAGTTCTCTGCTATAACAAAAAAGAATTTATCAGGAAAAATGTATGACTCTGATGGAGTATTAGAGGAAATGACGGGATCAGTTGGTACCTGCCTCCTGTGTGTCCAGGAATAAACATATTTGTGTCCAGCATGGGTATCCCTGAAAGAGTACTCTCAGCTAGCCCTGTGGGTCTCAACTTACACTTTTTTTTGTTGTTTGTTTTTCAAGATAGGGTTTCTCTGTGTAGCTTTGGAGCCTGCCCTGGAACTTGCTCCGTAGATCAGGCTGGCCTCGAACTCACAGAGATCCTCCTGCTTCTGCCTCCCAACTGTTGGGATTAAAGGCGTGCGCCCCCACCGCCCGGCTCAACTTGTACTGCTGATGGCTTCTGGTCCTGGAAAATGTCCCAGCCCTTTCAGGAGCCAGGAGGATGCTTTGTCCAGAGGAGAGATGTCCTCTGGACCAATGTCTTGGCCACTCAGTCTCCTATTGAAGAGGAAGGTGACATCATGGTGGATTCTGGAACTGCACTCAGGCCAGTCTGCTAGGGTGTGCTCCTGTGCATTGAGATTAGTTGCTCTTCTACTCAGAATGGGGGGATGTGGTTGCAGCCAGGCATAGGCTAGGACAGAAAACACTTGTTTTCTTCCCCCTTCTGACCCATGTACATGGGATGAAAAAGGACAATGGAGCCATCAATCCTACTAATTTGTGAAGTGACTCTGCTATTTGTTGGGGCTTCTGTGATGGAGGAATAATGTCATACTCTTGTCTAAATATTTTAGATTCCAAACCAATAGGTATGTGTCCCAGAAGTTAACACGAACAACATACAGCATAGTTGCTACCCATTGGAGGTGGCCTGATCAGCAGGCACTATGGAGCTTCCATTGAGCCCAGTGGCCAGAATGCTGAGCTGCATATAGGTCTGGAGGTATAAGGAAGGCACGGGGGTGGGGGTGGGGTGGTAGAAGCTGGACCTTCAGGACGTTGGTGCAATGTGGAGGCAGTAAGGGGAGCCATGCAGAAGCAGCAGTGGGACAAATACCCACAGCCCTGGAAGGAGAAACTCACAGAAGAATTTAGTGATTAGCAAATGTTTCCTTGTCTTTCTGACTTGGAAACTGCTGAAGTGAGCCACTCAGGAGGTGCAGGCACAAGGCCCAGACACACACACAACAAAGTGGGGTCATGGTCAAGTGAGGCGAGCTGGCAGGACACACAAGCCAGCGGTCTTCCAGATCAGGAGCGCAGCTGAAGGGCTTTCCAGAGGCATAGAAAGGGACACTATTTGTGTAGCAGTGATGCTCATAGCGGGGCTCCTGGGATCCATCACTGAAGAGGCAGCTTTGAAAGCTGAATGGGTCAGGCAAGCTGTAAAGGGCCTGCCTTCTAAATTCAGTCACAAACAAACTTCCTTCTTGAGAACTATCAGCAGGTTTTAGCAGCTAGTTCCATCAGGGAAGAGTTGCCAGTGTTTTTTCAGGCTACTAGCCCTGCAGGGGTGCCTGAAAGGACATCTTACAGGTTCCACACAGAGGCAGGGAGCAAAACAGACAAATCTCAGGCAGGATGTGAGCCTTAGCTCTGGTCATCCCCACTAATATGTGCTTTCCTAGGAGACTGGGGCATTTACTGAACCTTTACGGCACTGTGTGGGCCAGAATCTGGTACTAGATGCCATGGATTTTATGAACTACATTGGGATATTTGGGGAATGCTTTTCGTAATTGGCTGGGCAATGACTGGAGCTGAGCCATTTACTTCCTGTTTGAGGTTGCTCACCTTTTCTCCCTGCCTCTGTGTTACGCAATACGGCGAGAAGGGAGTGGATAGATGTCTTTACAGGCTTCCTGCCAGGCTGATGACCCTCGTGAGGTTTCCCTGAAGGAACTCAGCCTTTCCTGCTACTCACCCCCAGGCTCATCTTTGCAGCCAGGAAGGTGAGAGATGAGGAGCTTGGTGTGGGAAGCCCAGCTAATAGAGGCGGAGATGAGACAAGGTGGGAGCAAGGAGGTGTGAGCGTGCTGGATAGAGTGGGGGAGACACCAAGGACAAAGCGGGAGACGCCCCTTGAAAGGTCTGGGTAGTGGAGGATTCTGGGCACAGCAGGCAGGGGAAATACTCCAAGACTATCAAAAATACACACGCTCTCAGGGTACTCTCAGGAAACGGGTGGTTGGATGTGGACGAAGGAAACAGTGGAAGGGCTGTTTAGATGTGAAGCGGGGAGGAGAGATAGGGCCTTTGAGCCTGGTAGGCTAAGGAGAGGATTCTGCCTTAACTCCAGGCAACATGAGCCACAGAAGGGTGCTGCAAGAATGCAAGCCACATGATGGGCGCATCTAGTCTTCTTAGCCTCCCGTTCGCTCATCTGGAAGCTGATGCTTTGATATTTGGGTTTACTAAGAAGATGAATCAAGAGTAACTGGGGCAACACTTAGCAGAGCCCACACCATGAAGCAGGAGGCTGATTATTCTATATCCCACACCTTAAAACCCGAATCTTTATGTACGTTGAGGGGCCGAACACAGGCACATATGGCATCCTCCTGATCCACATGAGCACAATGAACTAGAGCAGGGGGTCCCTGTGCTCCCTGAGGGCCATCTCTGGAGCCCTCAGGTTGGACTGGGGATCACAGCTTCACTGAAAAGGGCTCCAGGCAGTTCACAAAGACCTGAAGGGTTGGGAGTTGCAGGCCTGAGAGAACGAACATTTTCACCTGTTCTTCCCTCTTCTTCCACAGCCTTTCTCACTCCTCTCCCCTAGGATGGGTCCTTAGGGCCCCTGCACTTGCTCCTCTCTCTGCCTTATGTCTTTTCCATCAGTCATTTACCCAAACCAAGGCCTGTCTCCATCACCTGCTGCTTGAGTCTGCCGTCCCCTTTTCCCGATGATCTTTTTCTCTCTTCTACAGTCTAACCTATAAGGTGATGATGATTTTTGTCTCTCGTGTTTGCTGAGATTCAGAGGAATACAGAAAGATTCAGCTATAGTTTTGAGTTTTAAAGGCTCCCAAAGGCCTATGCATTAACGAGTCGGACTCCGGCCTGTGGCACTATTGGGAGGGAACCTTCAGGAGCCGAGGCACAGAGGAGGCTAAGGAAATGTTACACAACTGACAGAGATATCAAGAGCCCAGGCCCTTCCTCTCTCTTTTGTATTATGCCACTATAAGGTGAGCAGTGGCTCTCTGGGCATGACACTTCGGTCATGATGTGTTGTGTTACCCCAGGGGTAGCAACATGGCCACAGTCTCTAAAACCATGAGCCGAAATATAGCCTTTTAAACTGTTTCCCTCGGGTGTTTGGTCACAGTGAGGGAACACTGATTAACACAGCAGCCGAAATATCTGTTGGCAGAATAAAGTAATCCCTCCATTTTGCAGGCAGGACATACACTGTAGCATGAAATCCACACGACAGTTACAGGATTGAATTTGCATTTATTTGTGGCACTAAGAGAAAGAGCAGACAGC